TGCACGTGAAACGGTTTGTCGGTGAAAGGCTGCTGCCTTTATTGGAAAAGATAGATCCATTGGACAGGTGAGACAAAAACTAAAAGTCGAAATATCATTTTCATTTACATCAAATATCGATGTAAATATTTCGATAAAGTTTGCTTCAAAAGACAAGATAATTCAATTGAAACGTAGTACTAGTTAAATGAGATTACGGCTTCAAGTTCTAACAAAGGTCGAAGAGAGACAACGAAGTTATCGATTTGTGTGGTTTAGATCATTGTCATATTCCGACCACCAAGCACTTTTTAGAAAACTAAGAGAATCCGTACGTTTGTACAGTGCGCAAAGTTTAAATCTCAAAACCGGTAAAAAACGCCATACATGTTTATTTTTCGTTCAGATCACTACTTAAAATGTCTTTTGTGATTGATGGATTTTATACTGAGAAAAATAGACAGATAGATAGGTAAATGAATAAAGTGAATGAAACATAAATAGATAAATAGATGTATAGTACGGCTTTTAGCAGGGAGGTGTTCGGTAAACATGGGCATGAAAAGTGCCGTGAGCTGGATAACGGTTTCGAAAGATTTGGGCCCGGCCTTTCATCCGTGAAATATAAGCTCGTTGAACAATAAAACGGTTAACCAAATAAGTTGAAATGACCTTCATTTCAGCTCAATACGACTTTGAAATCAATCTTTTTCTTTTTTCTTTCCTTACCTTTTTTTTTTTCTCAGTGAATTCCTTCGTTTGTATCGTGTGATTCATGGTCTTCTTTGTGGAGGTGGCAAAGTTTTTCCAGCCATGGTCCTCGATAATATCTGATGGGCTTAAGCTAACTTTCATTCAACAGTTCTCTTCGCAGCAAATCCGGATAACTGCTAGTCTGGGGCTATCGTCCGCTTGTCTTGGGCTATCTCACTAGCGGCGAGATAGCCAGGGCCGAGTCTGTGACTTTTCTGTGGCTATATTCTAGATAAATAACTTCGTCAACAGGTTGATAGTTCCATTCGCGACCTGTACTTTGTAGAGGATCTTAGCAAAAAGACTCTGCCGTAAATTTAGGTTCTTCTAGGTTGTAATACTCTGTCACGACTCGCTTTAAACTGTACGCAATATGACCAAAGACCTCAATCAGTGTATTGCTATTCATGGCGCTCTTGTTCGATAGATAATAATCAGAAAGGCAGAACTCTATCATTCTTAAATAAGCTGTTCCTTTCCTTTCGTAACCTTTTGCGTTCTTTGTGGATTTTACGGTTTCGAGCCTGTTGGAGTAAGAGCAATGTTCTGAATTAGACTAAACAAGACAAGATCAAAGAACAAGTTGTTATGCTGCATCGATGGTCTGGTGAAACACCATTTATGATCAACTATAAGTAGATAAAGGGAGAAAAACCTTGAAATACAACGGGCCGTAAGGACTTGACTGAACTTGGCGATGATGTGGGAACATGCAGAAGGGTGTAGAATGACTGCAAAGCCCTTTTAGCCAGCTGAAAAGCATCCTGATGTGAATGATGTGGGAACATGTAAGGGGGTGTTATGCACTTGTTAAGAGCGTGGAACAAAGGAAAATATAACCGTTCTGCGAGATTTCAAAACCCCCAAACAACCAAGCATGAAGTACATGTTTGAGATGTATATTTTGAATTGGTCCTTAGGTATTGAAACTTGTTGGCCTTGTGTGCAGTAATTTCCTTCTGACGTAAAGCAGTATCAAACCTGATACAACAGTAGATAGTTTCAAACCCGATGATAAATATTATAATCANTTCTGTACACCAATATGGCGGCGTAGCAACGGTTGTCAAGATTTTTGTCACGTGAGTGAAAACGATCTATTAGCGGAGGATTTTTATCTTGCAGCTTCTATCTTATAAAAATCTCTAATTAAGAAGACAGTTCTCTATCTGCCTGTTTTAACACTGCAGGGTGACCATTAAGTATCAACAACCACACCAAAAGCTCTCACATCTGATTTCCATCATTGAGTCAAATGTTGGCTCGTGGCTTCTAGGGAACGGATTTTGAAGTTGGAGTACAAGAAAAAGGAGTCTAAAAATCGGTAAGATTTATATAAGCTTAAACAGTTTCATATCAAAGATGGCGACGCCACAACCGCAATAAATTGCGTAAGCATACTTTTCTCCTGGACAGAAAAAGTATTGAAATAAAACTCTTACTAACCTCAGTAGGAGAATCCATCTTCTGTATTCCTTCAGCTTTTTTTCCTTGCTAGGGAATCCGAAGAAGCTACACTTGTGACTTTCCGAGTGATGGTTGCAATCAGGCGCAAAGCAGTGCACCATTTTCATCATTTCGATCGCCTTCGTTTCTCAGTTTTAGATTTATGTGACCTACAGCGTTAATAACAATGTAACTGAACCTTATTCTAAGCTTCTTTGAACCGTTCCAAACGATGATTACACACTTGACCTGAGCAACGCATAGGTTATCAGCAGGACGCGCTCGATTGTTTAGAACAGAAATTTTAGCCCCATGGCAACGTGACGTCACACTTTAGGACTCTATTCATGATTACCCAGTTGGAACTGAAAGATTCTTTCGAAGAATCTTTCGATTTCCAAATTTATATTGTTGTCAATCGAAAAGTCCCCCATCGCAGCAGAAGCCGGATTTTCAACTTCTTTTTTAGCTTGTCTCAAATGTCTAGCAGTACTTTCATAGCTGAGGCATTTGGCAATATCGTGTTCAGTTTCACTCGAGGTGTAACCGAGCATTTTAACCCAGAGGAACCTGAAATTACGGCGCAGAATTTTACTCCTCTACTAAACAATGGACGCGAGTGGTTTCACCAAACTGTCGATGAGGTCATTTATCAGCAATACAGCTACAGAGAAGCCACGACTCAGGACTATCTGCCTTCCACTGATATCCAAGCAAGGCTTTTCGACGCCTCTTCAATAGAGAACCTAGAAGGATTAGACAATCAGACAGAAGAAGATGAAGCAATGGCTTGGAAGCGACTCAGGCCGTCCGTTGCTCTTTCAGTTTGTCAATCAATGTACATTGGAGCTTTGATTTCCCTTTTAACAGCTACCTTTGTAGGTTCTGCGTTCATACTGACATCGTACATATGTTATGAGACTGTAAACAACTGCCAGTTCTACCCAAAGAATTTAATTCCAATAAGAGTACAGTGGATGAGATCGCTCTCGGATATCATTGCCTGTGCCTTCCTTTACATTTGGTTCTTGGTCTACTTGCTATTTCTTTTCCGCCCTTATCAGTTAAAAGGAGTGAAAAGAAAACTTTTTTTAGTTTGTTGTGTGACGTACTGCTTGGATTCAGTTTACCGATTGGGTCTTCAAGTGCTGAATGTATCTCATTCCAGTCTATCTTCAGTACAGAAAATTCCTATAAATATTTTGTTCGTCACGAACGATTGCGTCCAGGCCTATTTATTGACTAAACATTTTCGCCTAACAACGAATAAACGACGGCTCGTTTTCTTCCTTCAACTGATAGTACCTGCTTATTTTTGTTTATTTCTTGCCATTCCTGTGGCATCGTTGGTTTATCCGGCATACAATAAACAAAACGACGAAGGGAAATTACTGATCGCCCTATTTTCTCCTCTCATTGGAGTCGTACTCAAAGTCATCTCACGAGTCTTTGTTCAGCGGTTATACAATATTACCCATCCGGGATACTCGTATGTCTTGCTGGCGCCGTTGTATTGCGCCTCAGCGGTTATGTTCCGCGTTTTACAAGCGGAACTAGATAGTTTGAAGTCCATCGTTATACTTGGGATCATTCACGGCGCTGCAGAGGTCATGGAAAGAAGCACCATGGTTGCAATTGATCATCTCTCTCATACGGTCTTGAAAAGAGGACCATCTCCTTGGGGAAGCTTTCGCACTCCTCGCCGTGAGAGTCTGATGGCTGATGTCGTCATCATGAGCATGTTATATGAATCTATTGCTATAGTGTCTGTAAACGGCGTTTTGTACTTGTATCAAATGATTTATTTGAAAAACGAAACCTTTGTTAACTTACTAAAGTATTTTGCCATTTTCACTTCTGTTCCACTGGTCATCGAGTGTTTTTTCATCACCCTGTCGATTATGATCGCGACACGCTATCAGAATATGCCTATTATGGCAATATGGAAAAGACGATGGAAAAGACATATTGTTCTAGCAATTATTACATCAGTATCGATAGCTAATTGGGCCAGCACGAACCTTTTAGGGGTTGTTCATCAGCGCTTTGCTGAAGATTCGACAAATCAGCCTTGTAAAATGCCGTTTACTTAAGTTGACACATGATTACTTCCTTAGCTTCTTCAAAGTAGCGTACTTTGTAGGATATTTTGTAGATACATTTGTTGTTCTTATTGTTGTTTTTTTTGTTTTGTTTTTGTTTTTGCCGCTATTTTTATATTCTTGACTGTATGCTACTTGAACTAGTTATGTCAAAAGCTTCATGTTTGAAAACATAAAGCGAAATGGGCAAATCTTTGAGTTCGGTCTTCCAGTAAAGGAAAAGGTTATCTACTTGTCATGATATTTGATTGGGTCTTCATGTAAAACCGTGATAATGACTGCCACGCCGTTTAAGTCAGCCAAAAGAGGTTTCAAAATAATTTTTGAGAATAATGTCAATCCAACTCGAGGATTGGAGCTTCTTGTCGCTAAATATTGGCACGTACCGTTCCTTAAGGAGTGGTTTTTGTCCAAATTTACCCCTCAAACAGGATGTCTATTTTACCCGTTTGGATCTGAAATAGGGTTGTTTTCCACATTACCTGGACGCGGTGTCATGAATGGTGAATAGAGAACAACGAGCAGAAATTGTTGATGTTATTTAGCAACAGAAATTGTGACTTATTAAGCAAAACGCTGTGAAATTTTTGCTTATGTATTATTTTGCACACGTTCTCATCCTACCAATTAAAAGCAGCCGTTATACATGTTGTATTGTCACTTAAAATTAGCTTGCAGTGATGGCGAGTTAACGTTAAGATGCGCACGATCGTTTATTCAACCGGCCATATTAACTGATTTGGAGTTAGAGTCGAGAATAGGAGTGCTCCTTATTTATTCACAGTCGCCCATCCCCTTGGTACAAATTTCTTTCCCCCCAGCCTTGTGAATTTGTTTCAGTTATAGTGGAAACTCCATTCAGAATACATCGTCAGGATTTATGGAGACGAGGAAACTTATCTAATCAGGGGTTCAAGTTGAATAAAAAAAAAAAAAAATAGATGCAAAGGCTCTAGCAGTGTATAGTATTTTTCAGTCAGGACTAGGCGGTGGTATACCTCGAATGGACTTTTAAGTTGAGTGATTGGAATCGTTCAGTTGATTAACTGTACCTGTACGTAACGTTAAGATAGTCAATTATCATTTTTATACGCAAGAACACAGAAAAAAAAAGAATTAAGAGGTTTGAAAAACACAAACATGGTAACAATGAGATGATTAAAGATTAATGTTTATGAATTTCAATATAAAGAGAGGCTTCTTGTTTTCGAATGATAAATTTGAAAGCTTTGGAAGGATAGCCGAGGATAAAGCGGGACGGACGGAGTCCGAACTGTACAGTAAAAACCCAAAAATGACTTCTTACTTCCGCCAGGAGAAAACAAGAGGAAATAATCTAAATATTAGGGAAGATGTAAAATTTTTCCATTTATGCCTTTTTGGAATGCATTTAACACAGTTGCATTACAAAAATCAGCGGAGCCTAACCAAGAATTTCGCGTAATGTTACGTCATGATAACATTTGTCATAGAGTATTTCTTATTAATTAATGTATCGCATACGTTTCATATGACTGTAAAATCATTGTATCTTTTACGATAATCACTGAGTTTCATTTTTAAACGAACTTTTTACGTAAAAGATTCGGCAACTGACTTAAGTTAAAGGAACTTTTTCCGTAGCATCTGCGTGACGTGTTATTATGGTATAGTTGGAGTTTGACTACATTGAGCATTACTGAGCGTTACTGGGCACTAGCATCAGTAAACATGAAAATTTTCGGTTTCCCTCCGTAATCGATTTCCGTGTCGAAATGAAGCGGGGAAAAAACTTCTTAACTCGATTTGCAATTTTAGTTATGTTTCCTTGTTTCATGTACCCAAGTTTACTTTATAAGTCAATAACATCGTCTACAACGGACGAAATCAGTTCAGAACACCGGGGCTCCGCTCGGGTGATCCGTTCGGTTGAATTTGATGAGACCGAAACAACTGGAAGAGTGCAATTAGAAGCAACTTCGACATCGCCACAAAATTGCGTCAAACCCTCCATAGACGACTTTCCAAACGATTTTATGACCCAGTATCAGCGACAGAAGCAAGGTGGTGTTGTAATTCATTTTCTACTGGCCATTTATATGTTTGGAGCGCTGGCCTCGGTGTGCGACGATTATTTCGTGCCCTCGCTGGAACAGATCACGAACAAGCTTCACATGGACTCTGATGTTGCTGGTGCGACTTTTATGGCAGCTGGAAGCTCTGCCCCTGAACTGTTCACCTCGATAATCGGTGTTTTTATTACCAAGAGCGACATCGGCCTTGGAACGATAGTCGGGTCTGCAGTTTTTAATATCTTATTTATTGTGGCCGTGTGTGGTTTGTTTGCCGGCACCGTCCTGCGATTGACTCCTTGGCCTCTGCTACGTGATTCATTCTGTTATCTGTTGAGTATTGCCGCTCTTATTGCGATCTCATACGACCAAAATGTCTACTGGTATGAAGCAATAGTGCTGGTGATTATGTACCTGCTGTATGTTATTATCATGTACTTTGACAAAACCCTTGAAAAGTGTTTTGAGAGATGGACGGGGATGGTCAAAGTGACCACAGATGTTGCGGGAAAGAAGAGACGCGGAGATGAACAAAGATCACTACTGAAAGAAGAGGACGAACATGAGGAAACTGCTTCGGCCGCTGGAGAACAAGAAGAGGTCATGATCGTCAACGAGAATGATGATTCTCCATTTACAGTGCCTCCAGGCCTGTTTGCCCGCGTTCTTTGGATCCTTGCGTTACCAGTCACATGTTTGTTTTACGTGACGATACCTGACTGTCGCAAGGAACGGTGGGAACAGTGGTATCTGGTCTCATTCTTTTTATCGGTGATGTGGATTGCCATACTCTCCTATATTTTAGTTTGGATGGTGTCAATCATCGGCTTCACCCTGGGTATACCAGATGTCATCATGGGCCTGACATTCCTGGCTGCAGGTAGCAGTGTACCAGATGGTATATCGAGCCTGATTGTTGCTCGCCAAGGAGATGGTGACATGGCTGTCTCTAACACAATAGGTAGCAATGTGTTTGACATTTTACTCTGCCTTGGACTACCTTGGTTGCTGAAGACTACAGCAGTGGACCTTGGAGGCTATGTTGTTGTGTTAAGTGGCAGTATTATTTACACGTCCATTTCTCTCTTTGGAACTGTGTTTGTCACAATCTTTTTAGTAGTGGCAAACAAATGGTATTTGAATAAGTGCCTGGGAATGGCTTTTTTGTTGCTATATATATTGTTCATCACAGTTGCAACTCTTTTTGAGCTTAATCTCTTTGGGAACTATAACATGCCAACCTGTAAGACATAAGAATTACAGATATTACAGCATTTCTATCACAAAAGTATACATAATCCTTTTTCTGGATTAATTGTGATGGAAATAGATTTTTAAATCTAAAACTCTTTTTAAAAGTTTTAACATGAAAATCTATTCATTGAAGCATTTCGTTGTCAAGTTATTGAAAGATCAGTAGAGAGACCAGAGAAAAAAGGAGATTCCAAATATTTGTACTGTTTTTCAAAGTTGAAAAAACTCTTCCAAAATATTTCAATTTTGAAAATTTACCTCTGTGGAATCCTGTAAAAAAAACATACGTACCCGTTACAAAGAGAGAATGAGAAATTTACCTTTCCCCATGACATGTAAATATAACTTCATTTTGTTTTTTCTGGCATTAACTTTTTTACTTTCAAAACCTAATTATCAAGATTTTTAGATCACCTGGAATGGAATGATGTAGGATCCAGTGTGTAGATATTTCCTGGAAGTCCATACACAACAAAACTCAATAGTTGTTATAGCCATTCAGGTTCTGGAAGTATGGTCATCATGATAGTGTGGTTAGCAAATGAGGATGTTGAATTAAGGAAACCACAGTACTTCTATCTTAATAACATGTTTAAATTTTTTTGATTTGGATTTCTTTTTGGAGTTTTCCCAATAGGTATGATTAATTGGATGGTAAAGGGCCTTGAGGCCAACTGAGGAGATTGTAATTTTTTTATTTTTACTCAATTAGGAGATTGATTTTAGACAATTATTTTCTTTTTTTAATTTGCAATTTAGTAAATTTCAAAGGGGAACATGCGATGTAATGTTTCATTCAAGGCTTTATATTTGGGCCCAAAACCTCCTTCCTTCCCTCCAAAAAAGAAAAATAAATAGATATAAACCTTGGATTCAACATTACACACAAATGCTTACAGACCATCAAAACTTATAATGTATCCCCACTGTAAGAGTATTGTCCAAACAAATATTTCATATTTAGAATTGTTATGAAATATGAACTTGTAGCGATGAGAAAGACAGCAGCACCTTTTTAAATGTATATGTTATGAAGAGCTATATGTGGTCTTCAGGGATATATAATCAAATGTTGATAAATCAAATACATACTTATTAAATCTTACCAAATCAGTTGAGACAGAATAAATGTTAAAGTATGCCATCACATGTGGCAAATTTTGGTTTGTCTGAGTTTGTGAAATCTTGTTTTGCATTTGATTTTGATCATTTGAAGCAACAGCAGGCGACTGGGTTTTATTTTTTCATCTTGCCTTATCTGTGTAACCCTTGCCCCTTCCAACCTTTGCTGGCCCTTGAGTTTCCTTGCCAAGGAACATGATTTTTAAAATATATCTGTGTATATCACCTGAAGTCTATTGATAGAGAAATTTATATCATGAATCAGAGCTTACTGGCTGGACCAGTCAATTCCTATGAAAACAATTGAGCCATTGTAGAATGTCATTCTCATTAAGCAAGCAAGGTCAGTCAGTTGTAATTATTGTCAAGAGGCGCAAGGCTGGCGAGAGCATGAAGAAGAGAGGACATCACAATGATAACAAATGCAAGATGCAAAGAAAGAACAAGAAATGGTACCTTTGAGAGCAAGGAAAGCAGGACATACCAGTAAGAGCAAAAACCATTAACACCTGTCTATCATCAACCCTTTAGCTCCGATATCAATATGTATATTCTCGACACTGTTCTCCATATGTTTCTTATTTTACTTATTGAGAGAATTTTTTCAAACAACAAGACATCATTTTTGGTGATCATTTCATTTATTCTCATGATCTGTACATTGAATCAGGCAGTGATATTGTCAGGAGAACTTAGATGTTGGTCACTATTGGGGCTTAAAGGGTCAATCAGCAAAGTATGGAAAAAGGGGATCAGAGACAGATTAATTAAGACTGGGTTACACTAGGTTTCTGATACTTGTTGTGGCAAATTCTCATTTTCTCTACTCATAGGTAAATGAAGGTGAGCCCGCAGTGATCTGGTTATCTGGACTACACATCCCAGAGTCTTACTTGACAGTCCTTGTGCAAGCCACCTGTAGGTCCACACTGTACACCACAGTGTCCACCACAGTTACTAAATACAGGACTGCAGAGGAGGTCTCAGAGAGGGCACATTCTGGCCGTTTTAAGAGTATACTATACTTGGAAGGTGCCTCTCGGGACCTAGAAGCAGGGTGCTTAAGGAGACCCAAACTGAAGGTTCTTGTTGAGAAGCTCCCTGCCTTGAAAGGGATCCCAATTGAGGGACACAGGATCAAATTACAGGTAGATATGAATGTTCCCCTGTGCGTAGTTGTCTTTGAACTGATAATTAAGTGAATGTTCATCCTCCTTTAAAGGGTTTGTGTCTTTTTTTTTTTTTTAGCGGTGTAAGCTACAGTAGTAACCTAAGAAATTATTAAACTTCACTACTCGGACGACACTCGCGCGCGCTTTTAATGAAAAACAAATCTCCGTATGAGGGCTGCACGCGATGGTGCGAACTGTACCGTAAAAAGCCCTGCGACCCAGTGTGCGGCCCTGCAGGGGAATGGAAAAACAAAGGAAGAAAGGGAAAGAGCAGTGGTCAAATGATGAAATGTTTTTTGGCTAATTTTGGTTTATCGTTTTGACGTGTTCAACCACTCAGCCCACAAGTACATATTTCTTTCAAAGTTTATTGTTTGATTCAGTTGATATTTCATTCAAGGGGGACCCTTCTGAGAAAGGGTGTGTTCCCTGATCAGAGGTGCTCCTTTGATGCTAATTCCAGAAAAAGAATTAAGGACCAAACTTTGTGTTTCTAGAGTAGAGATATCCCCTGAAGAGAGCTTCTCCAAAAGATGTTGCTTCATTTTAATTGTTGTGCCATTCTGAGTCTGTAGTTTTCTGCTGAAGGGCGAAGGTTTAAATGCTGACCTGGCCACTCATGAACACATTCCTTACTGGCATCTGCAAGATGTTTGCCTTACACTCAACTCCGATTGAAAAGCTCCTCGTGTTGAACTGAGAAACACCGCACTGTGTCTTAAATTTGTTTTAATTTCGTGTGTTTTCCAGGGTGGCGAAACGGTAGTATGCCTGATCTTTTATTCTTTTCCAGGTGGTTTAGGTCGCGATGTAGTTTTAAGGAGCTTACGTCACTAAGCCCAGTATTAAGCTTAAACAATTTAGTGTTAGTGAATGTACTTTTGTAAATAGTACAACAGTTCACACGATCATACCGTTACTCGTGATGTCATTCTCCAAGTTGGAGTTTTTCTTGCATGAAAAAACAAATAAGAATAAAAATAAACTGAAAAATAAATAGTGGTATGAAGAGTGTACTTTATGACGTTTTGCATAATAATAATAATAATAATAATAATAATAATAATAATAATAATAATATTAAGTAGCACTCTGAACATTGCAAGAACATTTAAACTGGTTACAGCGTAAGAATTTTAATGACGTTATGATTTGGTTTTTATGCACAGGATTTTATGGACATTTTAAGTTTAGGATATTTTAAGAACCGAACAGTAAATCACGA